GCACAAGATTTTCAAAATTTCATGAGGATTTGGTAGCCTTTGATTTTAGAGTCTGATGATATTATAGCAGGTGACATGATGGAGCATCAGTGTTAGCTAAACCAAACATGGCTTTGCCAAGTTAGTGGACTATTACAGAATGGTTTCAAAAATGGGATCCAACAAAACACAAGGTTTGGGTGTCATGGTTAACCATTCACACCTCCTATTCAGTCACACCTGGGGATTCTATGTCTCTCTGCTGGACAGGCCAGCAATCACTAAGAACAAGACATGAAGCATCTCGCTGGTCACAAGTAAAATTAATGACAACTCTCAGTGAATCCTCAACAGAAAAATCTGATGAACTGCATGGTAGAAAAACTATATAAAACAAGGACATATATAATAAAGTATATGCAATAATCTAAATGAAAATGTCTACATGGCCAAAATTAACAGCATAGGTATCAATTAATTATTTACGATGTCTAAAGACAATTGTATTTTAAAAAACAGTATTATCCAAGATAAACTAAGTTCAGTGATGATATTGGCTCTATTAGCCAGGGAGGGCATGAAATATCCATGCCAGGGAATCTAACATATAAACAAACATATAAATAAAATAGGCTAATATCAAGTAATCTAACTCGCATATATGTGCTTCATTGAGGCTCCCTTGCCCTATAGTTAACTCCTTATAGTGAGGGTTACATCAAAATCCTATGAAAGCTAGCAGAGAACTATCACGACAGTAGCCTAGCATCAAGCAATTGCAATAGGCTCCATGCCTTCAACATTCCTGCAAAGGCCAATGACCCTCTGCCATGTATATTCTTCAAAGGTTCTCGGGTTAGGCCTGATTTAATTTCTGGAACTATTAGAGGCTATTCCAGGCTAGATTAGGATAGCAAAGATACGGGAAGATGTTGGTGAGAATGAGACGTAGCTTGGCTCGGCAATAATTTACCAATAAAGACTTCAGTGCTGCCATATTCCATATTAGTAATTCATTCTTGTGTTTAATTTTACACTACTTCCTTATCTTTTTGAACTAATACTGCAGAATTTGAGTGGATATTCATATAAAAAACAGAAAAAAAAATGCTAATATTACATTACACCCTGGAAAATCATCAGTAGAGCTTTTATGCCAAATATATGCCCACTAAAATATTTTCTAAAACAGCATTCACTCCTGATATAAGGTGCAAGCTGATATGTCTTCTTTACAGATTTCATTTACCAAGCTTTTTCAAAAATACTATATTACAGGGCGACAATCCAGCTGCGAAACATGATCAAGAGGATTATCAAATCATAACAAATGCTTTCCAACAGCTGCTGAAACAACCAGGACAACATTGCATCATATGGTCTGAGTGCTATGGTAGTGACAGTGTATGTGCAAGATTCAGATTGAAAAATTATAAGCAAAACAATGCATGTTTTCATGTTTTTTCCTTCGTTGTTTTCATTACAAGGTGGTACATGTCATCATAGTTCATCCTCATGCCTTTCAACAGATACACCATGCCTTAGCATTTGAACATCTAATCTGCTGTAAGACTGCTTCAACAGTTTCCAGGTTCGTAACCTTTGTTGCTAATGAGACTGCAGTGCAATTTATCAAGAAGTTTAATATCTTCATTTATTTCTGGGGTATACAACAGAATAATTCCCATGTTTTGCTGCTGAATTGTTGCACAATGTTATGGCATGTTTGAAAAAGCTTATCATTGTATAAAACAAGAGATGAAATAAAGACTTGCAATATTTAGAATGAATGCCCAAAATTTATGCTAAGAAAAGAGTATAGATGCAATTTACGAGAGAAATCTGACAAGCATAACATAACAAATGAACCAAACAGAAACTCGTTTACATAAGCTTACCTTTAAGTGTAAACAGACCTTTGTACATCCCAAACGATGATTCCACGCACAATATTGTACTCATAACAATACAGTGGACGCACAGACAAGGCGGCAGACACCCAGCGGATTTCGTCTTTACCGTCACTCTCTCGCCATCGTCTCCAACAGTTATTCTTTGAGGAATGGCATCACATCTGTCACCTCCACTTCACGCACCGCAAACACCGACACTCGAATCACAAACAACTCTTTTCCGTTTCACTGCAAAGCAAACACAGGATTTTAAAAAGGGCACGGCACAAGGGCCAGAATCAGATGTCGACGGAGCAACATCAACAACACACGCGCGGGGGGGGCACTTCAGAGCTCCTTTCGCGGCCCCAGAGTCACAAACCAGTTACAAACTTGAGATTTCCTTTCCTATGCATCACTTGCATCACTCATTTTCCATTTGATGATAAGAAAAAAGTAAAAAGAAAAAAAAAACATTGAAAAAAAATAGTTCACTGCTAATGACCTCCTGGTGATAAATGAACGGCTCCTTGACCCCACAACAACAGTCCCAGCACCACTCCCCGGGTCCCTGGTTCCCCCCCTGCACTGGACCCCCCCTGGAAACCCCCTGGAAGCCCTCCGGAAGCCCCCCGCCTCCCCCCGCGCCCGGGAGGAGGGGAAGACGAGAGGAAAACAAGCCTCGGCCTCCCCCCCCAGGACGAGGCAAATCGCGGATTGCTGCGACGTCTTGCTCGTCCCCGCCTGCGCCCTCTGCCCAGCCGAGGAGGGCAGCGGGAGGCGAGGGAGGCGAGGGAGGCGAGGGAAGAGGGAGGCGAGGGAGCCGAGAGCCGCGAATCCCGAGAGGAGCAAGCTGGTCGTCGACCCAGATACGAGCGGCCGCAGAGAAACGTTTTTCACTCGGCTTTCCTCCCTCGGGCCGCCCTGCCCTCCTTCCCGGGGCTTCCAGGGCGCGAATCCTACCTTCCGAGCGGAGATCCGAGGGCCGTCGCGAGGGCAGGCGACCGTCACAGCGTCCGCGCCAGCAAGAGCGGCCGAGTGTTTTCATATTCCGCCATTATCGCCCGTGAGGCCCTCGGGACCCTCGCCTCCCCTGCCCGCTTTCTATTCCGCGCCCGACGCCTCCTCTCGCCTCCTCTGCCGCTCCTCCCGACGCTGGCGGAATTTAGCGTCGCTTTTCCGGACCTTTTGGGGAAGGTTTGGGAGAATATATGGACCTTGGTGTAGATTCGGAGTAGATTATGGGGCTTCTAAAATGGACCTTAGGCCGCCGGGGCATAAGAGCGATTCTCCCTCGGCTGTCGAGGAGCAAGCGGAGGGATACACGGCAGGAAGTCTAGGGATCCCGAGTCTAAAGGCACTGGGTAATAATCGCCGCTTTAATTGACTTTAGCTAATTTATGCTCGATTTATGGATGCTAAAGGGTGTTGATGATAGGAGAAATGATATGGGGAAAATAGCGTCCTTTTCTTATGGAAATGATTTTTAAGGAGGATCGTTTGAAAGGTTTTATACAAAGGTGCGAGTGACCTAATGCGTCGTATGTAAATAATGAAGTGGGTGAGATTATAAAATAAACTTTAAGGTATGAAATAGTTAATGATTGTGTAATATATTAGTTCAGCATTATATGTAATTGATATAAAAGCTATAATGCATCATAAATAGTAAAAATATTGAACCGGTAATGTCAGTTTCAAATGCGCAGTTTTCCTTATCATCACCCTCCCTGAACAATTTCAAATTATCAATATTTTGCCTTGCATTAAATAGCATCTAATAGCAGATGTTTATAGGATAACGGCATTGCATGGATATTTGGCTAAAAAGAGAAAGTCTTATACCAGAATGACAGTTATGTTTTTTTTCCTCCTCTTTTTTTATATACTCCGGACTTTCTCTAAGACTTGGATTTTTTTTTCTACGTTGATTAAAGGATCTATTACACAACATAATGCAATGTTTAAGACTAATAAACTCTTAATAAACGACAGAACTCATCATACCTCTTGAATGTTCAATAAAATTTAAAAAGGCGAAGAGTGATGATTTGGATTCATATGGATATAAAATAAAGTCTCTGTTGCGAAATTGTTTGCAATGACACCAATTTGTAAATGGTACTTGGGATATACTCATTATTATTATTATTATTATTATCATTATTATCATTATTATCATTATTGTCATTATTATTATTATCAATATTATCATTACTATCATTATTAGTATTAATTATATTATTATTATTATTATCATTATTATCATTACTATCATTATTATTATTAATTATATTATTATTATCATTATTATCATTATTATTATTATCATCATTGACATTATCATTATTATTATTGTTGTTGTTGTTGTTATTATTATTATTATCATTATTATCATTATTATTATTATCATTATTATCATTATTATTATTATCATTATTATCATTATTATTATTATTATCATTATTATTATTATCATTATTATTATTATTATATTATTATTATTATTATTATTATTGTTGTTGTTGTTGTTATTATTATTATTATTATTGTTGTTGTTGTTGTTATTATCATTATTATTATTATTATATTAGTACTATTAATATAATTATTATTACTATTATCATTATTATTATTATTATTATTATTATTATTATTATTATTATTATTATTATCATTATTATTATTATTATCATTATTATTATTATCATCATCATGATTATTATTATTATCCTCTTTATTATCATCATTATCATTGTTATCATTATTATTATTATCATTATCATTATTATCATTATTATCATTATTATTATTATTATTATCATCATCATGATTATTATTATTATTATATTATTATTATTATCATTATTATTATTATTATTATTTTTATTATTATTATTATATTATTATTATTATTATCATTATTATCATTATTATTATTATTATTATTATATTATTATTATTATATTATTATTATTATATTATTATTATTATCATTATTATTATTATCATTATTATTATTATTATCATTATTATCATTATTATCATTATTATCATTATTATCATTATTATTATTATTATTATTATCATCATCATGATTATTATTATTATTATCATTATTATTATTATTATTATCATTATTATCATTATTATCATTATTATTATTATTATATTATTATTATTATTATCATTATTATCATTATTATTATTATCATTATTATTATTATCATCATCATGATTATTATTATTATTGTTGTTGTTGTTGTTATTATCATTATTATCATTATTATTATTATCATCATCATGATTATTATTATTATTATATTATTATTATTATCATTATTATCATTATTATTATTATCATTATTATCATTATCATTATTATTGTTATTATTATTATTATTATTATTATCATCATCATGATTATTATTATTATTATTATCATTATTATTATTATCATCATCATGATTATTATTATTATTACTACTATTATTATTATTATCATCATCATGATTATTATTATTTATCATTCATATTATTATATATATTATTAATACTTATTATTATCATTATCATAATAATCAATATTCTGAATATCATTTATATCATTATCATCATTATTATTATTATTTTTATTATTATTATTGTTGTTGTTGTTGTTATTATCATTATTATCATTATTGGTATTACAATGATTATTACTATTATTATTATTAGCAGTATTGTTCTTGTTCTTGTTGGCGTTGTTGTTATCACTATTATCATTATTGCTTTTGTTGTTGTTGTTGTTATTATTATTATTATCATCCTCATCATCATTATCATGCTTATATTTTTTTTTGTTATCATTATTATTATTATTATCATTATTATTATTATCATTATTATCATTATCATTACTATTATAATGATAATAATTGTTATCATTATTGCTTTTATTTTTCTTTTTATTATTATTGTTATTATTATTATTGCTATTATTATCATCTGTTATCATTATTATTTTTGTATTTATTGTTATTACCATCATTATTATTGTTATTGTTATTATGATCATTATTATCATTATTAATATTATCATTATCATTATTATTATCATCATCATCAACATCATCGCCATCATAATCATCATTAATAGTATTACTATCCTCATTACTAATACTAATGTTATTGTTATCATTAAAACTGTTATTACTATCAATATTATCATTATTACCGTTATTGTTACTGTTATCATTTACCATTATTATTGACGTTGGTTATGTAATTTTTACATAGTACGCCATTACTTAATCAACACGTGTGAGTTATCAGTTGCATGATAAAAGACGACCAGGTAAATGAATCTTAGTTACCAGGTGAGTAGTGTTAAGTTACCAGGTAAATTATTTTAAGTTTATTAGTAAAATCAGGCACGTTACAAGGTGGAACATACTGTTATGGCCAAGTTATAAGTGCAAAATGCTGAATTTCCGGGAAAATTATTTTTATCACTAGGTTAATGATCCAAAATTACCGTTTAAAAGGTGTTTGAATTGATTCATTAATCAACCACGTGTATAAAATTAATGTCAGCTGTTGAGAAAGATGTCGACAAAAAAAATCCTCATTATATCGATAAAGTGAAAATTAAGTCACGAGAATATTTGCTGATGACAAGCTAAAAGAAATAGATTCCGGAAATTGTTTTTGTGAAAATGTGTAAATTTAGGAGTTACTGTGAGAACGTGTTATGTACTTTTTGGTCGGTCGTTCCATGTTACATTTTCGTTTTTGATAATAGTCTCTATCTAGTTATCAGTAAGGTCTATATAAGTACTTATTCTTATACAGCCCTTCGTCATCGTGTCCATTATTAATTAAGTATTCAGTGGTAGATGACAAGTGTTTAGATAAGTATTTGAATAAGGTTTTGATGTATGCGTCTGTGCAGCTGTTTGCAGTGTACGTCATTCCGGGAAATCGTTAATGGAAGAATTACCTTTCTACCATTAAGACCATGTATATGTATATGGTGTGTGTGCAAATACATACACATATACATTTGTGTGTAAGCATGTGTAAATATATATATATATATATATATATATATATATATATATATACATATATATATATATATATATATATATATATATATATATATATATACATATATATATGCATACATATACATACACACACATGTAAATAAATAAATATATATAAATATGTGTGTGTGTGTGTGTGTGTGTTGTGTGTGTGTGTAATTCACACACACACACACACACACACATATATATCTGTATCTTCGAAATCTCCTCTCTTGCAACAGAGCTGGTAAATGACAGCGAGATTATCTACCGCTTATATGTCAAGAGAAAGATTAATGTATCGTGATATTTGATCTTTATCGGTCCATTTTGTCCATTTTCTTTCTATTTATATATATATACATCCATCAATTTATCTTTATATAATTCAGTTTCTGCGTATTTCAATATATCAAGGAAAGATTTTTACTCTTATTTTGCTACCAACTTAAAAGTTACTTTAATTCTGCGTATATACAGTGATAAGAGCGATAGGAGCAACATAAAAAATAATGATGGTGATCATGATAATGAACATGATAACACTAAGAGTTATAATCACCATCAAGATAGTCGTTTCCATGGCAACAGCGATGATAATGACAACATAATGATGAGGATAATGATAACAGCAATACTAATGACAATGATAATAATAACATCCTCTAAAATATCATCAACAATAATAGCAATAATTTAACAATGGATAGATAATCAAATTAATTTAGCTCAGCATCCCCTTTTCCCAGCTGTGGTGCAATCCTGTCAAAATAATGAGAAATGAATTAAGAATTAATGAAATTAATGAACAAGATGGAAAGGCGACGATTAGCTTCGGGCGCATCGGTTTTTATTGTAATTTGTAATAAGCCCGTCGTTCGCCATTTTTCATGTGTGCTTTACCTCGTTTATTTTCTTTATTCGCATTTTTCGTGTATTGATGCTTATATTTTGTGGTGGACTTGAGTGTTCATGTTTTATTCTGAATCTTATATACGTAGATGTAGAATGCATATAAAATTCATTATCGGGGCCTTTATATTGTC